AAATAGCTTTTTTCCATCATTAGTTAGTAAAGAGGTGTTTTGGAAACTCATACACCAGCTTACTCTGGTTTTAAACATAATCATTAATAGTATTTAATTAGGGAATGGTTTAAACATAATTGTTTCACATATGATTAAAGAACTTGTAAATTATGGAAGAATATATGTTTTTAACAATAACATTTCCTGCACCTATTCTAACCTTGCTATTTGGTGTCAAATCTCTATATTAAAAGTTAATTCTATGGTTTTACAAGACTACCCAACTGAATAACATAAAATGGGTTCCACCATAAAAATCAATAACTAGTTGAAATTTTCCAAATCCCAAAACTAAAAAAGTAATTACATAATACCACTTGTAAAAATAAATAACTAAATCACATTTTATCTATTCTAATATACATTCATAAAAACATAAACCACAAATAAATAAACTCTCCATTCTTACTTACAAGCATTCCTTATAAGAAAAGTATCATTAGCCTATATAATTGGTTTATCAGAATCAACAAAAGCAATGCTTTACATATCTGAGCCATAATTACCTAAGAGAAACTTAATATGAAGAAATATGCAATTGTAGCTTATTTGGAAACTAAACTATTTTTCCTTTTATGATTTTAAAGTTTCATAAGAATTCCATCAAATAATATTCATTATTTTTTATCACCCTATAAATCTTATTTATTTATTTCTTTCCAAAAAACTTGAACCTATCATGATTTTCAAAACAAATAAAATAATAAAAATAAACAATATGTGGAAAACAAAAAAAAAATGAATGACTAAATAAAAGATAATTAAAATAAACTAAACAAATAAATAAAGCAAAAATAATGAAAAGGCAAAATCGGTAAATGGAAGTTCAAGAAGACCTAAATTTGAAATGGGTTTAGTCAAATCAAATCTTAGATGAATAAGTCAAAACCATATCTTTGGAGGCAAATTCAACTTGACATGGATTCACCTTGTTTCTACTACCCAAAAAGCTTCTTTTAAAATAACTTTCATTTCTTCATTCTTTCCATACGAACAACCATTGCATCTTAGTCCCTCTTCCCTCTAAAATTTGAATCCTTACTCAACCTTTAACCCCCTAGCAATAGTAGCACTGTCATATGTCTTCCATGCCAACAATGATTTCTTTCCTTTGCCTTACTAGCCTACTAAACATAAACACCAATGTATTTTTCCCAAAACCAACTCAACCCAGATCCTTCCAAAGAAACCTAGAGACTTTTTAGTTTTAATCTAAAATTCCTCCAAAACAACTCTGTGTGTATTTGCTAATGAGATTATTGTTGTCTCCCCTATGAATGCTTCCATTTCAAATGCCACCACCAAAATCTTATTCTTTTCAACTTAGGAATCCCCAAAAACTTAAAAGCTAACCCAAATAAAAAAGAAAATAAACTACCAAAAAATCAAATCATTGAACTATTTTTTATATTGTTTTTTCTTACTTGTTGGATTCAGGATTTGGCCTACTAAGCACCACGTAAAAAACTGCCATGAACTCTTAACTCTAGTAGTAGTAAAAACACTATTGCCTTGAATTCTTGAACTCTTAATCTCTAGTGTAACAAATTCATCAACTAAGTACCTCTAAAAAAATAAATTTTACAAAAGAATAAGAAATGGAAAAGATAATTTTAGTGCTTACCAATGGAGCTTGAACCAGACCAAAATTAACGATAGAAACAAAAGAAATTAGATTGGAACTTTAGGGATTCGACCCCCTTAGAGTCACTGGGAACTTTAGGGATTCAAACCAAAATGCAAAAAAATTGATCAGAACTTTGTAGAAATAGAAACAAAAAAACAAAGGAAAATTGATCGAAACATGATTGAAACTTTGCATAATCGGTTGAAAATATGAATAAATTGACCCAAAACAAGCAGAAACAGCAGAAAAGGTGCATGGTGAAAGAAAAGCAAAAATGGCAAGAAAGGGGTCTAGTGTTTGAAATTAAAGGGAAATTTTGCAACATTTTTTGAAGAAACGCCACTAACTTCTTGCGTTTAGCGGCATTTCTACTTAAAAATGCCATCTAACTTCTTACCTTAAGCAACGTTTTTACTTTAAAACCTCACTATACAAGAACAAAATGATGCATTTCTAATTAGGAGAAACTATTTAGTGGTGCTTACGCTATAAACGTCGTGAAATTTATAAAAATTAATACATATAGCGGCATTTTTTAATAGAAACGTTACAAAAAAATTAAGATACAGTGCATTTCTTTTTTTAAAAAATTATATTTTATATTTAATAAATTTTGATAGTTTTATTGTGACGTTTAAGTCAGCAAACGCCATAAAAGTATGTTTGTAATGGTGTTTCTAAATGTAAATGCCACTATATAAGAATTTAGTGGCATTTTATAAATATATGCCGCTAATTTTATTAAATATCAAACTTTGTGGTATTTATTAGTAAAACGTCGCTAAAAATCTATCACTAAATGATCATTTTCCTATAGTAAAAATTTAAAATTATAATATGTATTCAATGTTAAGTTCAATTAGGAACTTATCTAGGTTAGAATAAACATTAGCCTTTTCTTTTCTTTAAGATCGAAGGCAACTTGTTTCTATTTTAGTTTACTTAAACCTTACATATTGAATTGTGTTAAACAACCAACACAAATTTGAATCCATAGAAGCTTATGCATGATCACTAAGAAACTATACAATGGAAGGTTGAATCTCTGTTATTCTTCATATTCTTTCAATCTAATTCAGTTTTAAATATACAAACAGCCCCATATCTTAAGTTCTTGATTAATCTATAACCCAATTCATTATCTTTGGGCAATGGTAATTAGCTTGTGCCATGCCAGATTGTTAGGAATGATTTCAAACAGAGAATTTCATTAAATTAAGCGAAAATTAAACAAATGAACTTCAATTAAATTTGTTAAATCGTAGTATAAAATAAACAAACTAAGATTGCTTAATTTGTTTCTTTAAATCTTGTCGTTGTAAACAATCTGGAATTTTTAGTCAGCTTTTTGGCTAACTATTACTTGTTAGTGACTGTTTTCATCTTCTAAAATTTTTAACTTTGTCGTAATTTTTAACAAAAGTAAGTCATCACAAATCACCAAAAAAAATAAAATCGAAAATAAAAATCAAGAAATTAAAACTAACTTGAGCTAGATTAGGCTTGAGCTTGAGATTGACCAAACAACAAAATCAAGATAAAGAAACAACAACTAGACCAAACAAGACTTAAGCTCGATCGAAACAAAAAAAAAATGATTGTTAGTCATTTGGTTCCTTTAAAAATCAAAATCAAAATGAAAAAAAGGGATTGATTTTGGTGAAAGTGCCTAGCTAGGAAATGGCACGAGGAAGAAAACGTTGATAATCGAGCAACTGGAAAGGAAAAATTAGGGAAAATGAAAAGATCAAGTTTGATGTGAGAAAGATTTATTAAAATTTGGTTTCAAATCTGATTCGAAAAAATGATGAAAAAAAAATGTGAAGGAGATTGTCGAAAGCTCAAAAAATTGAAAGAAAGAAAACACGTGAAGAAGAATCAAAGAGAGAAAATTAGAGGAAGAGTGAAGAGACTTTTTCCTTTTTTTTAATTGGGCCAAGGTGAGAAAGAGGATGAGTTAAACACATTTAGCAAATACAGTGCAGAAACATGATTTATTCTTGACAGGTTGGGCTTAGACGGGAAAGCCCGTTAAATTTAAAATAATTCTAGCGGTTTAGCAAACCGCCACAACAAATGTGCCCTTAAAACAAAGGTTTTTTGTTGTGAGAAGCAAGTATCCAATCTTATATGTTGAAGTAAAGAGGTACTTGAAGATAAAATGTAAGTTTTTGTTAGATGAAAAAGTTCAATGAACATGAAGCACCACGAAAACTCCATTTGATATTTCACTCAAGTATCTATGAAAAGATTTCCATGTTTTAGTCTTGTAATTAGTCCTCTAACTTGTGATATCAAGTTACTTTTTATGTGAATTGTCATACTTTGATTTCATGTATAGGGTCTCAAGAAAAGATGCTAAAAAGGGTGATTTTAGGTAGGCGTTAAGCATGTGAATGTAAATGAGTAGTTTAAAGAGGATTCATCACTCCAAGTGACATAAAAAAATATATCTTATTTGTTCTTGGCTTATATTAAATTGATAAAATCTTTGGTCAAAGTGCATGAATTTAGAAAAATGGCTTTTCTAAATCCATAAGGTTAACTATAAATTGTAAAGACTAACATGGAAAGATATCATGAGTAGATACTACGCCATGCTTGTGTTCTTCCAAAATATTTGTGAAAGTATCGAATTATACTGATAAATGGATCAAAAGGTTATATCCGAACTATCTTGACTCTATCAACGAATTTAGAAAGCTGATATGCGTGTGCAAACTATTCCTTTTCTAAAAGTGATTATGAATTTTGTATTGTTTTATGTCCACTATCAAATTTGGTGAGTTTCGAGTTCTTAATGCCTTTAACATGAACAAATTAACGAGTAATCTAATTTCTTCTAGCAAATTGCCAAATGACCAATTTTAATTACTCAGAGTTGGTCCAACAAGTTAAAAGTGGAGAACTCCCTAATTTCAAAGTATATTTTAGTCAAATTTATGCAATTCACCACTCAACCAGGATGAATTACTATAGGGACAATTTCAAAATAAAAGTGTTCTAAACAAAAATATTTATTGATGGCACTATGACTGAAAATATTTAACAAAAAAAGAACTAAAATATATAATATATAAAAAATTGACAATTACTTTCATAAACTTATGTTCAATGAGTGTTAATTCAACATTACAAGTGATTATTATATTTATATACAAATAAAATATATGTACATTTAGTGAAAATATATGTACAATAATTTTAAATTTTTAGATATTAAGATCATAAAAGTAATTTTAAATTTGTATTGATATTACGTATACTTATTTCTTAGCTAATTATTTTTTATAATGGTATCAAAGAATAAATATTTCTGATAAACCAGCTTTTTGAAATTCTCCTATTATAATATTCTACCAGTCCTTGTTGTTTGTTAATGTCTGAAAACAGAGAAATGGATGGAGCCTACGATGTGTCATGAAAACTACCTCCCATCGCGTCCAGCCAAAGCGATTATGAGTTTAACTCGACTTTTACATTGAGCTTCCACCGGGATTCAAAACTTCGAATTGACTTGGACTTGGACAACCCAAATCTTTCCACAATTTTCTGGAAGTCTATCATCCAATTTTTGGTTGAAATTCCACGCAATTTGTTGCCTACTTTTTTAACTGCAACGTTGAATGGCATCATCTATATTCAACTACAACATTTTTTCTACTATCTTGAAAACAATTCTTCCATTTAGGAGTTTGTTTTCTGTAGCACAAGGTGATTAAAAAAACAACAGCTACCAGGTTGTGGCAAAATTGACCAGAAGTGGCTCCATCTACAGCTAGGAGCAAAATAGGTCCCGGCTTAATCTTTCATGATATAATATAGAAATTAATATTTCGGTGAAAAACAATAGACAAATATTGTGCCAAAAAAAATTTTAAAAAAGGAGGTGAAGCATCAAAATGATGCAACGATAATTACATGTCAACATGGTATGAATTAGAACAGCTGAAGTGGCATACAGTGCTTCCCTAAACAATGTAACTACACTACCTTGTACTGGCAGCACACTTGGCCTGCCACCTGCGTTCTGGCTCTAACAACCTGAGAACAGGAAGCCAGATCTTCCAGGCATCAATATACCAACCATCCCTGATTACTCTGCAGATCGTTCCTGTAGCAAGTTGACTCCACTGTGTACCCAATATGTAGCAGAACGCTGCGCCACTGGTGATGATCTTAAATATGGATGAAGGAATCCTCCAGGAACCAACCCCTGAGGGCCTGAATTCCTACCGTAATACCCCCCAAGTGTTTGACAATGAAATACTGGGGAAGGATTGTAAACATCATCCAATGAAGGATACTGGATACCGCTTGACCGATTATCTTGTTCCAGCTTGGGGTAAACAACATTTTTAGAGGAAAATTGGATTTCAGGTGACAAGTCAACTTGTGGAGAGCCATTTCCACTCTTTTTGATTCTCCCAATTAACTTATAGGAAAAATTCAGTACCCCATTAGGCTTCCCATCACTGTTACGAACCTGATAACTGACAAATCTCACAACTCCACAAAATTCATCTATCAAGTCCTTTAATGGAACACGTACTTCACCAATTGTTCTGTCAACTAAACCTTCACTACGCAAATCGAACTTGAGAAAAAGATGATCAACTTCCTCTGGAGGTAAGCTTTGGAGATCAAACTGGAAAACATGATTCCATTCAGGGTTCTTACCTCCTTTCTGGATAGATGTCTTCTGACGCTGCAGATGTTTTTGTTGCTCTTCTTTTTTCTTTGCTTGTTCATTCACAATTAAAATAGAGACGACAGAGTAGGCTGACAGTTTCTGGAAGAAATTGAAGGCCTTGAGATCTCTGCAAGAAATAACCTTGAGTTCGAGAGTGCTCCAATCCATATTATTTCTTTCTTGCTCAGTGCAGAGCTCAAATCTAGCCTTCTCGCAAAATAAAGGAAATGAAAAAAGAGGACTTTAGATGAAAAGTTGAATGGCGAAGACCAAGTCACCTAAAGTATATCGCACACACAACATAAGGTCGTCCTGTATCGACCTTATGTTGTTCACCAATTAAAGTAGTCCACTATCCTAATAGGTAGTGCGACACGTTATTTCTCTGGCAGGCTCCACCACAATAGGAGACCGCTGCCCGCCGGGCCATGCCCATTCTAGTAATTCTTAATTGGGAACTTCCAACTTAAAAATAATCCAAGAAAACAACGGCCGGAGACAGGTCAACAGCGTGTAATTCTTACGGTACTTGCGCTTCTCAGCGTTGAAATTAAAACAGCCACCGAGCCCCTATCACACCAAAAAAGAAAGCCTTCCACTTTGAAGGAATAGTAAGATTTATTACATAAGATTAAAAATAATAATAAAAATTATTATAATTATAATTAAAAAAAATTATTATCATTGTGATTAAAAAAAATTTAATAAAAAATTAATGTTAATTTGATTCCATTAAAATTAATATTTTGATTTCACTAAAAATGCAATGAGCTTAATTATATTGTACTGAAAATATAATAGAATTCAAACATCATTTATGGAAAGAAAACCCAAAAAGAGAATTAAAAAATGTCATTCTTTTAAAATGGAATGCTTAAATTAAAAAAAATGCCAAAGAAAATTTCTTCCTACATCGGACAGCAATGATCGAGGGTATCAAAATCTAAAAGTAATTTGCCAAAATATAGTACACATAATAATAAAATCGGCTTGAAGTGAAGTTATCACTATCCAAGTAAGCCGTTATGAAATATACGAGAGTTCCATAGAGCTGTCCTAAGGAGATGGCAAATTGGAGTATGTAGTTGTATCCCTTATTCTTGTTTATAGCATAGCTACCAAATTATCAACAACTTTCTAAATAATGAAAGCAGAAGGGAATAAAAGTGTTTGGACCAAAAAATGGATCGGGGAAGGCTCCTTTCAAAGAAGAACAAAGGTCGAAAGTTGCTTTAGCATTTCTATTTCTATGCACAAGTTAGTGAGATAAAATAGTAGGGAGAAAGGAGAGTGAGATCACTAGAAAGAAAAGAAAGGATGGCTTGCTTTACCTATGAGGAAATGCGAGGTATTTATAACTTAGATGACATGATAGGTAGCATTTGACTTGGAATTAGTGATGTTGATGTGGCATTAGTTAGACCAATGGCTACCCACCATGTTAGCATGCCCACCTGAAAATGCATACACTACAAAAAAGATCTACATCAACAATTGATAGTGGGAGTCCGACAATGTCAACTGTTTGCCTCCATTAATGACTTGGCCATGTCAGGTCTACCTCCCACTAACTAATTGGGCATGTTAGGTTGGCGAAAAGATGAAAATACCCTAAGTAGATCAAAGGAATAAAATACCCCTGATTGGGAGGTATTATTCAAATTTCCATTTTGCATTTAAAGTGGATAATGTTGGCAATTATTTTGTCCCCCACCCCCCTCCCCAACAGCTAGTTTGACAGTTCAGACTAGGTGATTGGGATTTTTCAAAGGCCAAGTATTTTGACGAAATGGATTTTTTTTGCTAATAAAATTTTTAGGTCCGACTTAACAGGTCAGCCAAGGAGATTAACCAAGTCATTGAAATAATTCCAGGCTCGATGCCAAGGCGATATGGTTACTAAGCGTGAAAGCTCATTTTTCACAAAATGAATTCAACTCGGGTGTTCCTATAAGCCATTCCCATAATCTATTCTAGGAGTTGATCGAGTCGTGCTTGATAGGTATTTAATATATTAGTTTTCTTTCATTGATAACTTATAAAATTTTATTGACTTCTTAAGTTAGCAGTAAGTTCGAGATATATTTATTGAGATTTTTTTAGATAGGTAAGTTGAAAGTTACCTTTTTTTCTATACATATATATGTATGTATATATGTATATATATGCTCTTGTACTCTTAAAGCTAACACTTTTGAATCCTTTAAAAAGAACTCTTGGTCTTTGAAGATTGGAGCTATTCTTTGGCATTTTAGGTATTCTTCAAGTTTTTAGCTATTCTAGATCATTTTTAAGCATTTTGCTGGGCTTTTAGGTATTCTAACTCTCTTTCAACCTTTGTTTTTTCAAGTATTCTTCATTTCTTCCTTTTTTTCAAATTTTCCACCTTATTCTTCAAACTTTGGTACATCCTTAAACATGTCTAACTACAATTCATTTTTAGGATCGTTACATGTTGAGGTAGATCTAGGAGCTAAGCTTTCAACTAAGATGGCCAAGGTGAGTGCCATTTCATCATCATACTTAGATAAATCTCCTTTGTGCATTTTCAATGCTCGAAGTGAAAAACTAACTAGTCGTAGGTGGCATTGGTCTTTGTCCAAAAACAAGAAAAAGACCCAGTACGAGAGTAAAGCAATCAGCACTATTGTTAAGTTGAACCAAGGTGTCGTACCCATCCAAATGGTCTTTCATATTAAAGTATTTCCTCCTTGGCCTATTCCCAATAAGTTAGGATCTGAATCTAAAGATTCTGAACATTCATAAGATGGGGATGGTTTTTAACTCGATGATGAAGTTCAAGATGATTTGCTTCAGCTTAGTAACATCTTCTTAGATAACAAACATATAGAAACCATGAGGTCTTTGAAGGGCCGAGCTTTTCTTGAGAATTGCTCTAGCTTGTGTATAGATAGTTAAACAAACAAAATTAGAAATACTTTTGACCTCACTAAAGATTACAAGGTTGAATCTTTTCATTCTTCTGATATAATAACTCAACACCAAAGTCAAAATGAATTATGGTGTACAAAATGGCTATGGTACCCATGTTGAGATTTCTTTTACATCCCTTCATAGTGACCATATTGAGTTTTTATGGTTTAGCTCCTTTTTAGCTCATGCCCAATTTTTGGTACATTATTGTCGGGTTTATAATGTTAGTAGAGGGTCTAGGTTGGCGTTTAACCCTTAACCTTTTAAGGATTATCTTTTAAATAAAATGATTATTGCTTTTCTTATAGCACGCAAGTGCATAAATCAAGTAATAATAATAGAGGTATTCTAACATCATCTTCTAAGGGCTAGTAATGTTGGGTAGTTCACAATTACCAAAGGTGAAAATCTAAAGTCTTATATCTAAACAATTAAAAATTTAGTGGTTATTTGCAAAGAAAAGAAAAGAAAGATCAAAGCAATTGTTGGAAGAGATCTTGACTTCACTAACTATCACTTAGGAAGTAGAAAAATGTAGTCAAAGACTAGATCTAAAAGAACAAGATTCGAAAACTTAAAAACAAGAAAAATGGAGATTGCTTATTGCTTGGAGTAGTCTTGAAACAAAGATTGCATTAAAGAAAACTTGTAGATCATGAAAGAAAATTATGGCCAAAACTTGTAGAAAGTAAAAGAATGCTTGAATCAAACTTAAAACTATAAAGTATGCTTGCTGAAATAGAGATTGGAAAACAAGATATGAAACTTTGAAACAATAAAAGAAAAGATCTTGGAAAAAATACTTCTTTGATTGAAAAAAAGAATTGTAAAGAACAAGAGCTTTGTTATTGGCAAATCTGTCACCTAAGCCAATAACTAAACTAAAGAAATAAAAAAACTAAAACTAAGAACTAAAAGAGAGAAGAAAAGTAAGGAATGGGATGATAGAATAAGGTGAATTGCTTCATTATTTATAGTGAAGGGTTCAGCCAAGCGAGTAGAGATTACAAGATATATTTTCAAATTTAAATTCTATTGGATGAGTGCTTATCCTAATCTTTTTGAAGGTTGGCCAATGTGGTCTTCTTAAGCTTGAATTGCCTTGGTCAAATGGGGTCTTGAAGGAGTGATATCGGCCATTCATCATGTCTTGAAGCATTCTTGATCAAATCCCCCTCTTAAGTTTGGCTAAGATGAAATTCAAAAGGAGATCATTTTGCTTTTTATTCAATTCTTGAAATTCAAAAGGATAAAGTCCTACTCCAAGCAAAAATTTTCAAGGCTAAGCAAAAGACTCATGGTGGATTTCAATCTCTTATTGGCCGAATGTTGTAATGTCCTTTTAGGCTTAGAAGTCTTCAATTGATGATTATCCTCTTCTTGCACTTGAAATGGCTGAATGGATAGAGATGGAAGTGTCCATGTATGCTTGAAATTATTCCTTTAGAGTGAGTTAGCTGAATGCAATGTAGAGTCCTTATGCAAGCACACTTCCTTCATGGCTAAGTAAAGGAGTCAATCTTGGATCAAACCTTTTTTGATCAAACATGTTAGAGTTTATTGAATTTGCATGCAATCTTCTTTGAGATCTAGGTGGCTGAATGTAATGCACTATGCGAGAGTCCTTGTCTAAGTGGAACTCTATCTTAGCCACATGGATGGATGCATATAGATCAATGTGGTTTGGCTATGAGCTTCCAATATTAGGCCAAAAATACTCCTTGTATGCTTGCATGCATGCCTTGTATGAAAATGAAAGCTATGAGCTTGAAACCCTAAAATCATGAAAACAACATGAAAAGCATTAAAAATCATCCAAATTTTAAAATTTAGATCGTTTTTAGCATGTAAAATTATTATATTATTAGGTGGTATCATAAAGCTCTTCCTCGAGATAGCAACTAGTATTATGTTATAGCTCAGTCTAGCAAGAGGTTGTTTTATAAAATTCCTACCTTAGTAAAAACATGAAAGCTATTCTTTTATTCCCTTATCACACCTAATGACAAATGGGAAGTCCAAACTAGCCCAGGTCGATTCATAAGCCATTCTAATGGCAATAACTCACTTTTTATGGAAGATGTCCATGTCTTCCAAGAGAAAAATAAAATTAGAAAATATGGGACCTTTTTGATTGATGTGAATCCTCTTACCTCAGTGAATACTCTTTGTTATTTTAGAAATAAAAGTAACTAAGAATAGGTAATTGTTCAAACCTTCATAGGACTTGGACTTGTAAATTTCTAACTATTTTCTATTTATTTCTAGGAATAGGTAAATATGGCAATTGCTAAGGACTAAGTAGGGTCAAGCTAATAGATAAGTAAGGGAAAAAAGAAGCAAGTTTCTTCCTTTAACCTTTTTTACTTAGTTAACCCTTTTGAATGACAAGTCAATAGCAAAAAGATGAAGAAAAGCTCTATAGTTCGAATACCATTGAGCTTGACTTTTCTAGTTCATCCCTCTCATGCTTAACTTTCCAACCCTAACCCTCCCATAGAGGTTAAGGTAGATAAGGTCCAACCTTTCAGACCTATTACAAAGCATCTTTATCTGGCCAAAGTGACGAATATGCACGAGTTTTCTCCCCATCCAACTAAGGCTCTAATCGAGACTACTCATCAGGTGGTTACACTATCTATAGAGATCGTTGAAATAAAAATGCTTATGACTTCA